AACTTCATTTCTAGGTGAACGTTTTGCGCACAGTCTATGTTCATTCACTCTGACCTTCACCTGTCTACTGATCTCCCATATAAAGCATGCACCAATGCTTTCTCCAGAGAGTAAGAGGGTTTGACACAGACTTTAATATCATATGAAGCGAATAGTCTTTGAAGTTGTTCAGCTGTGTCCTTTCGATATGGAATGGCTATCGTCGGTAGCCAAGATTTCTCAATTTTTTGTTTTCCCATATTCTCCTTTTTATTTGATGATATTATCTAGTAGCTTTCCCGGATAACCATTTCCGGTCAAAATCTGTTTTATATTGGATATCTCGTTCTCCATATCACCATCATTATCTGTTATAATGTTTCTAGCTCTGTTAACGAGATTTAAAGCTACTGAAACTTTCATTCCTATTGGATGGTCTGAATGGAAAGGTGTTGGCATTCTGTATATGGTAAACTTCAGTTTCTCGTCAGTTTGTCTTTTTACAAGACAATCAAGAAAGTTTAGAGTTCCCTCAGTCGATTCTATTTCATTAGTAAATTCAATATATTCTGAAATTAAGTTGATTTCTGTTAGAAAGTTTTCTTTTTCAGCTTTCTTTATGATGATAAATGTGTCGTCTACAAATCTGTACCATATCCTAGGATGACAACTAAAACTTGTCAATGCCTTCTTTTCTAAGGCTTTCATATAAAGGTTAGCTACAATTGGAGATGCTGGTGAGCCCATTGCAACTCCATTTGTTTGACAGTATAGTTTGTCTTTAAAGGTCAAATATGTAGATTCCAAACAAAGTTTTAAACATTTTATAACTTCATTTATTGATAATAAAGATTTAGTTAATACTTCCTGATTGTTTTCAAATTCATATTTCATAATATCGAGTGAATCACATATAGGAATACTAGTAAATAGAGAAACCACATCAAAACTTGCCATAATTTCGTCTTCTTCAATAATTATGTGCATTACTTTCCCTTCAAACGCCTCAATATTTTTAATGTTCGAAGGAATATTGTACTGAAGTGCTTTCAGTATTCGTGATATGATTTTGATAAAGCATATATCACTGAATCGGTAAAATCAATTATTGGTCTTATTATTTTATTATTATTATTATGTATTTTCGGCCTTCCATAAAATCTCGCGGCCGTGTTGGCTTTGGGAGCTATTGAAAACCAGACTGAATTCCCTATTTCTGGTTTCAATTCTCTAAGAAGATTGTATACTTTGGCTTTTACTTTGTTCATAGTACTAGACATTTTGTTTATCGGTACTAATGCGTATGGACCTGCTTCGATATGATCGGTAGCTTTCTTATCATAGTCATGTTTATTAGAAATCACAGTGATATTGCCTTTGTCAGCTTTAGTTATAACAATAGATTTATCTGATCTTGATATTTGTAATGCATGATTGTGTTCAAGTCAGGAAGTAACGAGATATACCAAACAAACACGATGGAAAATCAAACGGAGAAAGAGACACACAAATAAGATGAGCAATGAATGAAGTCGTAGAAGTTATGCCAGAAAGTATATGCGAATATGCAATTAAAAGTGTTCTCTGAGCTGGTTGGTTTAGTCGCGAAGCTTTCGTCGTCCTTCCGGACAACATCTTCAGCGCCATATTTAGCACAAAGAATATTTCTTAAATTTCTCACTTATTTAGCTACCAATCTCAAAAGTACTCAGCTCCTGTTATGCATTGTGACTGGGAGGCAGTTCACAGTTTCAACAAATGCGAGTGATTATGGAAACAACGGACAGAGTTGTTGAGTATGCTAGCTGTGTGTAGACACCTTCAAAGGTTGAAAACAACAAGGGACCTAGGAGGGGAGTTGTCACGATGGATAATGCGCCTAAAAGATTATGCTTTCACGACTGGACATATTCCAGGAGAAGAAAATGTAATAGCTGACTACTTGTCGAGATCAGATAATGAGGCAGAACCAGCATAGGCAGAATATGCAGCGAACGCTTTGGAGCAAGATCCCTCACAACTTGTTCGCCACCGGAAGTCAGATCCTTTTCTGAAGACAGTCATCAAGATGATAAGTGAAGGCAAAGAAATCTATACATCACCGGAGAATACACAGTTAAAGACACAACTGCATCACAAACATAGATTCAAACTAAACGCCTCCGGCGTCTTAACTTGGCAAGACAATGACGGTAGATGGGTGACGGTGACGCCAAGAGCCTCCGTTGTCAAGTGATTCAAGAATGACACCAACTAGCCCAAACAGGCGTTGTACGGACATAATATCTAGTGAGCCAATGTGCGTGCTGGCCAAATATGAGAAGTGACATTGCAAACTAAGAACTCGCTTGCCCACAGTGCCAACTGATAAAGGGTGATCAGTGAAAGTTGAGGATAAGGTGCAATAAGACAAACAACAAAATTACGTGTAGCAGATAAATTTTGCTGATTGCGATGGCTTATATGTCAAAGAAACACGCAGACAGGTAAAACTGAGAGTAAGAGGGCACAAGAAGGTCCTGAAATTAGTTCCTAAACCTCTCAATATTAACGACAGTAAGGTATTCGTTGAACGAAAATAAACTCATGCGTCATGGCTGTTAGGAATTCGATTCATGCTATCCGATGTCTATATGCAATTAGGAATCACCAATTCAGGAAGCCATTTCTTAACAGCAGGTTTCAATGCATCCTTATCTTCACTGCTGAAATATCTATTGTTTCACTAATGAATGTTTTTCAATTATTTCACATAACTCTATCTAACTCAAGGTTCTTAAAATTGATGGAATTCATACATCGATTAATTACATGCACTTGAAACGGTGTGTGCAGAAAACAACGGAATGCAAAATGTACTTATTATGGACTACATGACCTACTAAAATTCCTCTGCTTATTAGTATGTAGTTCTGTTGTAAATCACTAAATCTCGTAGATCTCATTTCATTCACGTGAACCCTTCTAGTTGTGAAGCGATGGTGAAGAAACTACGAAATGATGATATCATTTTGTGATAGTTGTCTTCTCGGTGCTTTGTCCAAAATCTCTGCACTCATTGATACATATACATATATATGCTTGCTCTGTTTGGTTTTATTTTATTTTATTTTTTTTCCTTCACGTTCCCCAGTGGAACATAGGGCTTCAAGCTAGTGGCTTGAAGATTCTGTAGCAGTGTTTATTTTACAGGATGGGGTTGCTAGCCTCACGTCCAACTCTTCCTCTTTACCAGCATTATTTCTGGCTCTGTGAGGTAAAGGAGTGCGTCGGCCGGGGATCGAACCCCGGACCATGTGCATGGTCGGTGAGCGTTCTAATAGCTATGCCACCGACGCACCTGTTTGGTTTTATAGGAAATGCTTTATCAAATTCCGAAACGTGTATGCATAACAGAGAGGAAATAGTTGTATGCTATGCTCGATGACGCATACACCATTGTGTCAGTCAAATTTCATTTCATACATCATCCCCATCCAGACATTAACGAATAGAAGACAGGTAGTTGAGTGAAGAGAATCGCTTCAGTGAATTCGATCATTAGGCTGTACTATCGCACTGATACACAATGTTTATCTCATGAAAGAGGGTGTTAATAGAAGTGATGAGTTGTCACTACCATAGTTGTTGGTATTTGGCAATGCATAATAGGATTGGTAGCTAAATAAGTGAGAAATTTAATGAATATTCGCATATCCTCTTAGGCATAAATTCTACACTTTCCTTCTTTGCTCATCTTATTTGCATGTCTTTCTCTCCGTTTGCTTTTCCATCATGCTTGTTTGGTATATCTCGTTATAAATGCTGAGCTTCTAATCAAACTACTTTTGACTTCCAAAAGCGCGAAGCCGAGTAAGTGTATGTATTGAGATGCAGTCTTTGGCAATATAAATATAATTCTTTCAATGGAGCCTTCCTCTCTTCTCGTTAGTGTGACATCGAGAAAGAGCACAGACTCATTGTATTCTTCTATCACAAGTGAAGGGCACACCTGAGTGAACATCATCCATGTGGCTGAAAATCAGACCACTGGATAGATCTTCATCGTACATTACAAAATCGCTATCTACGTAACAACAGTGCAGTCCCATGTCAGTTACTTCATCGTCACAACAGAAAATCCTCTGGTTTTGCTTGAAAATTGTCACTAAGCATACGAACTAGTGGGGATCGCAAGGCCACTCAATCAACCTGTTTGTATATTTCATTACTAGAGAAGTATTGGACAATAACTGTACATTTAAGCAACAGTTGCTTCACATTGATAATAAGAATATCAGTCCACAATGTTCTTTCTATAATCTGTTCTCAGATATAGTCGAAGGTGTCTACCAGAAACACGTTAGTGATGAATAAGGAGGAAGCATCAATGGATGACATATCTATCTGTTGAGTTCAAATTATTTTTGATCTTATCGATAAATTGACAGTGTGCTTTACTATCTGATCACAAAGGGATTTAACCAGCCAAATCAGCCACCTTTCAGTCTCCCAGTAAACTGATTGAGACGTCTGATGTGGAACTGAGAGTCAACTTGGATTTCTGCCTTTTCGGTAAACCGTGTTATTAAGAGAAGAGACAGGCATATTTCACCAACAACACGTACAAATCTAAGACACACCGGGAGCAAGCACTATTCAGTCTTTATCCACAATGCTGATCTGACTATTTGTATTTCTGATCTCACTTACCACTAATTGTCAATTTTACACTCCAAATAAATTAACAACTCGCCCTCCTAACTTTGCAATACTCCTGTGATTATTTCAATCTATGCATACAGAGGCTTAGTGGTATCCTTTACCTCTTCTATTCTACTGCTTAATCACCTATTCTTACTATTATTATTATTAACTAATTAATTAATTAGTGGCCTTAATATTAATAATTCTCAGTAACAAATGAATGTGAATATTTTGTATGCAGGTAGATAACTTTGTTGACGTTGTTGAGTACCACGTAAATGAAGATCACATCGTGTATGGTATTTGCTACTGGATGCGAGTGAGAGTTGAGTAAACAGAAAGTACATTGTCCAGTAATAACAATAATAATTATGCATAAAGATATTTATGTATATAAATCTATAGGTGAGCATTGTATATTCATCACGGACAAGATATTCTGCTATAAATTACCTCAGGTCTTGAGTTCTCTGCTTGGAAGTATTGTGAAGTAAGTTCAACACCATAATTTTCTAATAGTAATGATAATAATGATGACTTGTAAAATGTAAAGTGCTTTAATGTGTTTCACGTTTCAGTTTAGTCGTGTTTTCTTAACGAAGGTGAGCTGACTACTGGTAGTGTGTGAGTCTTAAGACAGCATTGAGACAGGAATCAAACTCAACTCAAATCCGTGGTTGATGAGCACTGTAACAATGATGTAACCGACCCACAATTTTGATACTGACAGCACTTTATGCAAGTGATGGAGATTTAGTGTTGAATAGACACCTCTGTCTCCGCTATAATTGTGATGACGAAAAAGATACTCTGAACAAGCAACACGGTGATCGATGAGTGCAATACCGACAGTAATATCAACTCATATTAATAGGACTTTTTATTTCATGTTTGAGGCAATACACAGTTTTCTCATTATTTATCGCATGTTTGCTAATAATATTCTGTGATCTGGATCACACAGTCATTGCACAATTTTTGATTAACTGAACAGTTTATTTCCATACGACATTTCAGACAATATCAAACCTCAAACAAAAGTACAATGAAGTTCTCTGTAGTGTTTATTTGTATCCTGCAGTTGATACTAGTCACATCACAAGGCAATGAAAACAAGGATATTGATCAGGTTGGTCAGGATTTGAGAAGAAAGTTTGATGGTATTGTTGATGATATAAGAAAAGAACAAGCCGGTGAGTCGGTGTTTTTATTGATTGGTATTTATGCACAATGTTATTCACTTAATTTCTTTCTCATTATCTTATATTACGAAGGCTGAATTCAACTCATCTTGACTGCAATTCAGTTAGTTAGATACGTTCACATCATATTTTCCATTCATTTCAGCATGAAATTATCATTATTATTACGATTATTATTACTATTGTTCATTGACTGATTTTCGACTGAAGTGTAGAGATTCAGGAGCACACCTCTATTCCACTCCATTCTCTGAAGTCACTCTCAATCGACTGCACGATCACTTTGATTTTCTCCTCCATCTCACACTGACAGCACAGACACCTCATCGCCTATCATTCAGGTTCCACTCATGAGCTCTTCAGCTTTTTCCTCAATTTCGTTTCCGAGATGACGACTCTCTTATGAATTATTCTAAACAGTGAAGATGACTACAAATTCACACACACACACACAGGCACATGCTTATTACAGAGAGTGACGAAGTGTTATTTGCTTACGTCCTAATGACAACATGATCTTTATCATTCTGACATAGAGACTGTGATGTTGTTTCCTCATGTCTAAATAAGCGAAAGATACCGCGTATCATGTTCATGGCTGCATGAGAAATATTTGACAGCGAATATTGGTAAACAATCATCTCAGGATGAAAGAGGTGAAGTCGCCAGTTAGACACAGCAAATGTGCGTGTAGAAAGAAGATCTAACTAGCTGGCAAAGTTCACTCCGATTGGCGATTTTCGAGTTTTGAGGATAGAGTCAGGAGATAGATATTTGTGACATCCTGACAAGATGTACAGGTCTTAAAGTCATATCTTCGAATAATCACCGAGAATACCGTGAGAATATGTTTGTTTCATCAGATTTCTATTTGTATTTCAAATATCCTACGTCCTTAGTTTTCGTTAATCACACTACATTGTGTTGTTGTCATATTCATGACAGGTTTAGGAGCAGGAGCAATTGTGGGAATTGTATTCGGCTGTCTCGCAGGACTTGCAATCATCGGTGCCGTAATCTACTTTGTTCGACGGTGGCTATCGTCTAGATAATATGTGGTGTTTCAAATTTTGTCCCATTATAATAATGGTTGATGACTTATGTATTTTATTTTGTGATATTTTGATTGACACTTGATTAGCTTTGGATAAAGCACATCTCTCTTTTCTTAAACATTTTAACCTTGTTATTTCATTGTACTAATTTTTAGTTTTCCTTCTGTAGAATCGTTATTAGTAATGTAAAACAAACTTATCACATTGTTTCTTGACATAATGCTTTTCACTGATTTTGATGGTTCTTGTTGACACAGTGAGACCGTATACACAGTAACGAGTGCAAAGTAGGTTAGAAAATGTCAACCGTAAAAAGAATATAAAGTCAGCTGAGAATTCTAACATCGTGGCTGGTTTAGAATGTCGCCTGGCCTCTCGATAATTGCTAGCTGTCTTAGAATAACAGTAGGAAATGCCGAGCAACGATGATGATATTATTGACAGGAACGAGAGATTCGGATAGGTGTTCATTACCCTGAAATTAATGCGGAGATTCTCGGTAATCAGTAGTACACACTCATTTTCAATACTCATTTCAATAGGCTCTGTGTTTCTACATATTTCATAGACCTGATGAGCGTATCACCAGAGGTGTTTCAAAACAGATCACTGCAAACTGTCATTCACAGCTACTTTCTCTCTATTCCCGAATATCACATAGTCGATCTGGAAGAGTGAAATCCGAGGAAGTCTGACTGTGAGTCATCAGTCAAGTAACTGTTTCTCAACAGAAATGCAGAGGAAAAGGCAGATGGATGGATTGAGTATGCACTAAGGAAATCTTTTAGTTACACTCCACGTCAGGTCTTCGAGTGGAACTTGATTCAGATTGATTGAGATTGTTTTCGTTCTGAGATCGACACTGAGAAGATTTGAAGATAAATTAAACATTTTATGGACAGTGATGGAGGCAGCTGGAAGTGACTACATGTACCCAGTGGAACTAAGATTTGTCACTGAAGCGCTCCGTTCTAACAGGGATGCAAGAATGAGTAATTATGATATTATGGTGGTACCGTGAACTCATGAATTTCTTCCTGCTTAGTCGAAAATGATGGAAACACACTTGTTTTGGAACAGTCTTTATTAACCTGTATTTTAGGTGACTTAGTTCGTAAACTGATAGTTGTAAGATGTAGATTGTGTGTTTGATATAAGTGCGCGTTGAACAAGTCATCCAAGTATTAAATCCGGTTGCAATGAAGTATTTGAAACACAACGTCTAATGAGATAAGTTGAAGATGAACCAACCACTATCCACTGCACCAATTCAGCCATGAGAGTCACCTCTTCTGCAACGGCCATCACTTATTCTCACTAATTCAATTTCGACTTTCTCGTTGATTGATTGAACCGAAGTGCTCGATCGAACCAGATAAACTCGATTGTGTAACTTAGTTAGCTGTTGAATAGTTGGAGAGTTCGAAATCTCAGTATCGGTGAAAGCTTGCATTATGGTAAAACAGATAACTCGTGATACTGGAATTTAGTATGACTGACGTCTTCCTACAGCCATGCACACCGAGAAATGATTCAGAGGCCTACCACAGAATAGACAGACTATAGAATGTGTACAGTTGTACAAGTAGCAATTATCATATTCTCTCGTGAGCAAGAGGTTCATTCAAGAACATGACAATGATAAAAGTGTCATCCTACAGTCAGAGGCCTGAATAACACACTCATATTCGTGTTGATGAAACGAACACGTTGTGATTGCCAGTTGTAGAGTCTGTATATTTCGCTAAGATTGGGTGTTAGTGAAAAGAAGTAACCGCTTGGATAAGACATAGGTGATCACTATTGTCTGTATTACGAAAAGTTTGAGAAATGTAAAAAGCTTCACAAAGTCCTTCATAACTCCTCAATTTAAGAATAAAATGTTCAGTGAAAAGTCTCCTTTCGGTGGCGAATTCATTCACTAAGCTGTCCAGTCACATTGCGTATATAATTACTTTGTGTATGTGTCTGTATGCATGTACATTGAAATTGTCAAACAATAATAAAAAATTATTATGGGTTATTGTTTATGTCATCAAAATGCGTCTAAACTGTGACGAATAATCAAATTGTATTGACAGGGGTTGAGTAATATGAAATAGAATGTTGATGAAAGAGCAAGGAGATACGTGTCCAAAAGAAGTCATATAAACCGTGTGAACAGCAAATAAAGGGTTGGTTAAGAAGAAGGTTTCGCTAAGCTGTCATACAAACACTCAAAATTGCTTAATAACGAAGTAGTGGAATTTGGAATAATAATACTCAAAGTAGAAGGAGAGGGTGGAGAAGTTTCTTCTGTGTACATAAATCAGGGTTTTCTATTCGTGTCGCTAGGGTCTCAGCAATGCTAAGTATACGGAAGCTTACGATTCATACAAAGCAGCAGCAGCTTTACATGCAGAAGTAAATGATTCAGCCACTCCAACTATCATGGTTACAGCCAGTGTTGTTTTCCACTGACATGATTATTTGTTTGTTGGCTTGCTTTTCTAAGTCCTTATGACTCGTGTACTTCCTCAGAATTCTCGCAGGACTCCATATACTGCTTCGTTTCTATTTGCCTTCTGACTACAACTACAACCCATCCATCACACTACTCATCCTATTACGTAACTCCAATACAGTTAGTCAACTCCTTTTATGCATCGACTAATGTCAATGGACGTGAACATTGAACGTTTGTTTATTGGAACTGGCAGCCATTGGTGGGCAACTCGTAGGCGCGAATGGTTCGATCGCTTGCAACTTGAATGAAGACTTGAACAAATACGAATAAAAGTACTTTATAACTTCATTTGTACTTAACATTTGTTTGTAGAGTTTGTAGTTCTCTTCACTTTAATTGCCAAACAATATAATTTCGTTCAAGGAATACTGGTGTTTTGGATTTAAAGTTGAAAGAAATACACAGTCTTTATCGGTCGCAAACGTCTTCATTACAATAGCAACTTAGGGCTAAGTTCCTTGACAACTAATATTAGCATATATAATTATTACAATTCATCCAACTTCTGCTACACACTGTTAGTGAAGTTATTTGGCCGTATTAAAGCGTCTTGTTCTGTGAGAAATACATGGTGGGGAACTTTCAACTGTTGCGAACCACCTACGAGAATGTGAACATCCTGAAAGGTCAGTTGATACAATTGACACACTTCCAAGGGTTGAAATCTCACCTCATTTTTTTTGGAAATCAAGTTATTCACATCACAACGCATGTGATCTGCTCGATACCATAAATGCTGGTTATTAAGAAAACAAGCATATTTGTGTAAAAACTGTATATACTACTGACTGATTGAAATGAGTAATTGCATTTCACACTTATCGACCAAGAGGGCTTGCCTAGGCAGATCAATGTCATCGAAATTCGACTTATGATATAATCAGTCCTACCGAGGAGCCAGCCAAAATAATGGCAGTAATTATCTATTTTATTCCAAGATAAGCAGTACTCATAAACAGAATGGAATTGTCAGGATTTGTCACAATATTTCACCTAATTTACTCAAAATAAATATAAATTAATCACAGGAATTTGTCCACATTTAGAGAAGGGATAAAGTCAAAAATGTGCAAGGTACAAAATAAGAGCGATAACTATAATAAAAACAGTGAGTTTCATTCAAAAAATTTTGTAGATTCAATTTAGAAATTTTAGCATGAAATAGATTATTGGATCTAATGTTCTCTTGATATAGCGTGGTGAGGGGAAATGCAATAAATAAGAGTTATTACACAGCTTCAATAATTTTTGCACTTATTATAAAATAAAAAAATTAAGAGAATTGTAAATTAAGAAGTATAGTAACAATAAAGCCTGATGTTCTACAAGTGAAGAAAATGGTAAAGTCAGTAGAGCAAAGAAGGTTAGTTAGTTCTTCCCTAACACTATTTTCATCACATATAGTACATGCCAAATATGGCATAATGGAATTTTTACACTTAGATGTACGTGCATAAGGTCTTCTGAATAGACTTCTTGTTTTACCTAAGTTGGAGACAGAAATTTGAACCTGCGTGTAAAGTGAATGCTCACAGTCTGACGAAATCCCTCTAGCGAATTTGTTGCATGACATCAAGTGCCTATCAATGAAACTGTCAAAAATGTGTCCCAATAGGATACCACTCGCTCCGCCAATCGTCTTTAGAGTTCTACAAAGTATGACATAGTCGTTTTAAGCAATCTAGAAAAGAATAAGTGTGAACAGTAAAGAGTAGGTAAGATGCACGAGTTGACAAACTGTAAGAGGAGGGGTCGGGTTATGCCATAAAGCCTTAACTTCCTAATGTAAAAAGTCAGAAGAAATATTCTTTTCGAAATTGCTAAGACATAGGAAGACTAGGATTGGTCAGAACGAAGGATTAATACTAGGTACTCAACATTAAACTTCCATTTCTATAATAATATCACAAATTTTGAAACAGTCATAGAAACCAACAGCTTCATTCAACTTTCTTTTACATTGGAAACTAAAACTAACTGTCTGATATTCGGAAGGATTAAGCTTAGGACCGTTAGAAATGACCATCTGCTAACTACTGATAGTAAGCATGGTTTGAAATGACTTCCTCTCGCTGAGCCAAGTCAAACCAGATACATCACTAATGAGATCGGTCGCAAACGAGTGAAAACGGTCGTCATTGTTTAGATATGGTTGATATATATGCTACAAACCTACTTATCTCAATTGATCTGTAGTGTCTATTTTTATGCAAATATTATCTACCGACCGCTTTCAACTATCTAACATCAACTTTAGATTTTGCAATTGTTTCATCCTACTGGTAAGTAGTGTATTTTCCAGGTATTCAAAATATTCCCTATTATTTCCTACATTCCACCGTATCTTTGACTTATTTGATTCCAGAAGATATGAACAAACAAAGTGGACCTCGTCATCATGACACTAATGAATATTTGAGATCATTTTATATTGGAAACCCATCAAAACTTGGTGACAGTTCAAAGTTCATGGAAAGGCAACTTCCGCTACCAAGATATGTATGATTAAATAACGTAGAAAAGTGGCTTATATGCAGCGCATATTCCCAAATCATGTACTGTGCAAAATCTTTTATAATAATAATAATTTTATATTTTCATATAAACATAAATTTACATGAAAATGCATGCCATTTTTACAGGCACGATCAAGTATGATACAATGTCAAATAGTTGATTGTCTACAAGTTAGTAATGTTTGAATAGCTA